TGATAAAGGAACTCTATGATACAGGTCATATATGCTGTGATTTGACGAAATGCATCGAATAATTTGAAAATAAACGAGATTGTATTTTTGTCAAATATATATTTCACATGTTGAGTTTGGAATTTCTGTATTGTTGAAGTGAAATGTTTTCAGTCAAATATATAACAGTAACAGCAAATATGATTATTTCTAGGATCATTCCTATTTTTTCAGGAAAAGTCTTTTTTTTTTAAACTTATATGTAGAGATACTCATAGAATTTCATTTGTTAGCAGAATCGTACAAGATAATCTTACTTTTTAGATTTGGAACATATTATCTACATATTCAATAAAAAGTTAAACAAACCAAAAATAATTCTTGAAATGTTTTCATGAGAATTTTTATTAATTATCTTCGATAACTTTGGAATGCTCACATGGACTCAGATTCATAATCGGAATCGAGTGTTAGGATTTGATCCTAAGACAGACCCCAATGGGTGATAGTTAGACATACAAAGACACTAACGTTGAACTACAGCAAGTTTGGAAAAGAAAAAAAACACAACAATACATGAAAAAATGAACGATGATAAATTTTCAAAAATATGAGTTCAAGAATTAAAATGCATTATTAAATTGATTCTTGTAATTTTAATCGAAGTGCATTATCGTTTAGCTAAAAGACGTAAAAGAAGAGTGGTTATTAAATGAATGACGTATGTGATGAGTCAGATATATTTATTATTGCATTCAAGCGTATCTTTAATATTCTTTCACCGCGTAAAGTTACACGTGCATTCAAACGATAACAAACGTGATTAATTTACCTACATAATCTAATATGTGCCTCCCAGTGAGACTATAATGAAGACTTTCTGTTTTCATTTAAAAAAAAATGATGTCTTTTTCTGAATAGATATGTTGTGGTGCGGGTCCTGATGGTTGTTGTTTCTGTGGCATTCCGTGCGATTGCTTCGGAGGAGGTGGTATATACGACGGCGGGTGAATAATCGACTTCTTAACTTCTTTGAAAAAGTTTTTTTTTTTTTTTGTATTTGTATTTTAGACCTATTCGAAGTCAACCAGCAGGATACTACTGATTTTAACAATTTGAACTAATTTTTTTTCGCCTATTCAAATTGTATTGAACCATGTAATATGTGTGATTTCGTTCTTTTTGAAATAATCAAAATAGAGAAAGAAAACATATTCGAAAATGCTTTGTAACATGTTTCATAATAAAAATCATATGTTTCAACTAGTTTCGATGAAATTTAAATCAACAATGATACCACCTGAAAAGATCCATTTCGAAAAACATGCAATGTAGTGAATATTTAGTTTCGAAATAATATTTCAGATCTTTGGTCTTGATTAAACTTTGAAAAATGTGATAAGTCGATTAATGCCACACTTTGACGTGTATGTCGAAGTGAATGATATCGAAATAGGAATAGAATTCATTTTCATTTACTACAAATCATACTGCATATGTACATCAGTAATTTCGCTAAATATTACTCTCGAAGAGATAGCATATCACATCGAACGTACATTTCAGTTCAATACGAATAATCTACAATCAGAAACGACTCTACATTACAGAGCTGTTTCTCAGAAAAATGACCACTTCTGTGCAGATTATCTATACTATATAATCTTATTAGGAGAGACCGTAGTATTCGAATTTTCCGAGTATCCGAGACATCCCGATCTAAGGAGTTATTATTGACATAAATGAACAAAAAATTTCTCCAGATAAAAACAACATCAATATGTCAACATGTATTTCTCTGTTGATAAATATAAGTAATTAATCCAGTTAAAACAAATATTGTTTCAGATAATGAACAAGTCAATGTGACGATCAAATTTATCACGAGATTTTACCAATTCCTGACGTTTCAACTCAGATGAAATTGTACCATCAACTTGATTAATGATTTTCATTTACCAATCGAGAAATATAAGGCATAGGGACATTGGATATGTATCAGTGGAAGCCGACATGACGGTAGCTAAAAGAGAATATTTGATAATCATATGATCAATGACATTATTACTATGACACTCTTCATACGAACTTTTTGAGTTTAGATTTTGTCTAGAATCTCAAGCCATTTCCTCTTTTTAAAACACATCTATTAAAAGTAGTCTTTAAGACATCTTGATTTCAATTTCTCTTTCTGTTCGTGCATGCGAAGAGATGCAAGAAGGCTACAATTCAATAGGTGAGAGTAAGAATCAAACTAGCAATAATTATTTTCTTTTCATTTACTCTTGAAAATGAATTTTTTAACGTTACTTTTGAATGAATAAACGACGTATCGGAAACATATAAGACTAATTAATCTATCCACTGCGCAAAAAGACTACCATCGACAACTCCGCTCTTCAAATAAAAACAGAGTCTTTTTTAATATGATACAATAAAAATAATATTAGGCTAGAATACACTGTTCAATGGAATGCTACTCAAGAATGGAATATTGAAAATAGTTTTGATCCTTTGAATATAGCATGAAGAGTCTTTAGTAAGTGTTGGAAAAACTATTCACAATATCCAATAAATTCAGTTCCATTTAGTGCAAAATTTTAACGTACGGCATCAACGTTAAACCATTTTTTCATCTTAGCGAATAAACAGAAGAAATTTTGAAAATAAGCCAAATGATAACTTGAGTTTTGAATAACCTCTTGAAAATGCCCAACAACTCTCAATGAAACGTTTTCGTTTTAAATATTTCATGTTCTTATCACAGAGAAAACAATAACTAACAATTCATGTCAAAAACAAAATCAATAATCATCGATGCTATTAGACTGATTGAAACGTTGTATCAGCACAATTTTTGATATGAAAATCGACAAAACTTACTAATGATAACTCGATCAAGCTTGAATACACGTAAAATCTCCCAAAATAATTGCAGTTTTCTATTGATTATGGTACTGTGCAGCATCTCGTTAAAATTCGTCGTACGAGAGAAATAACCAATCAAATAGAGACATATGTTTAGAATTTGATTGGGAAATTCAGTTTTCCTAATGATGTTGACGATTAGGACACTAAAACTACATTTTTCTTCCATCAAGTCATGATGTTCTTTCGATTGTCACTAAGAAATCGACTTCAAAGATGAATATTTTCAATACAATGAACGGAAACTTAATGCTCTATGAAGAGAAAAAAGACTTCGTCTAACTCTATCATAATAGCAATAGGAAAATTTTCATTGATAAACTAAACGTTTCCGATGTCTTTCAAATGACTTGAGCTCTAAAGAATAGGTTTGCATATGTTTCGTGTTCACTGAGAAGTTGATAAAGTAATAGTCAGTTAGAAACGATCAGAAGATGATAGTCTAGCAATAAGACAACGATGTCTCTCTTTCTTTCTATGACAATATGAACTTCACATTGAGTTGTTGGATAAAAGTTGTCTCGTATAACCGAACATGATCTAACGATAACATACGCAAATGCTTCAGAATCTCAATCTATTCTTTAAATTTATAAATGAGTACTTATGTTGTTTTGGGTGAGGGAACGTTTAACATGATTTAATGATCGTCAATAACAATGTTTGTTTTGAAGTCAAAAAAACCTTCATACAGATTGCAGCGCTCACCTAAGAAAAAGAAAAAAAAGCATAATTTTTTTTTCTTTCGTTCTGATTTCAGATGCTTCTCTTTCTCTCACAAGGATGCTGAAACTATTGCCAACTGTTTGTGCAATACACATGTAAAGAATACTTGATAAATAATCATCTTGTAAAGGTATTGCCATCTCAATTACTCGTGAGCAAACTATTGAATGTCATAACTCGTGTTTATGACTCAAATGAAAGAAAATATTCTAATAAACTAGATAAATATGCGCATCGAGAAAAATGATTCAAGATTCTTTGTGATGATTGTTCATCTTGACCCGAAAAACTGAAAAAAAACCGAAAACGAAAGATCAGGTATTAACATCATCATCATCAATAGTTTTTATGATTGCTACTATTGAACAATCCAAGCATATTCATCAATAAGTTTTGATTGCATTTATTTATTTTATCATAACAATTTATATCAATACTCAATCAAATCTCATGATGCCTTTGACATCAGAAGATATAATTGATCGAAGACAAAATAAAAAATCTGTCACATCGTTTTATTCGAAGTCGAATATCGAATCAGTTCTCCTTTGTATTTCGACTGCTTTAACATTCTGATGACAAACGTTCTCTAACCTACTCGACAAGTTCATGGTATCTTTTCGATGATGATAATTCATATTCGTTGTTGTCATTACGCAAACATTAAGAAAATCAGTTTCGGTATAGATGTCTTTGAAGAGACGACACTCGTCTAGATACCACACACTCTACAACCTTTATGATTCTTGGTATGTGTATCTTGAGGAGCCATCGATAAAAGCTTGAAAGAATAAGACGTCTTACGAATTGAAACATGAGTTCATGTTTCGAATTCATTTTTTGTCATTCGACTTGGCAAGAGATGACAGTTCTTTCGTCTATTTTCGGCTATGGAATAGAATAAAACGGTGTTTGATTATCTCAAGTTATGGTACATATCGATTGTATACAGATAATTATTCTTATCCATTCTCAATCAGTATTTAGAAGAGATAAACAAATGGTACAATCCATAGAACGAAGTATTTGACATGAATGACGTGAAAGCAAATGTAGTTTTCACGACCCTTATGTCTCCTATTCGTCCACAAATAGTCATGTAGTAAACCAGATATTCTAAAGGAGATTTATAAAGGTAAAATGAAGAAAGGAAAGTTTTTCGTAATGAAACAATATTGAAGTATAAACCTTTATATCTATGAAAGTAAGTTAAACAAGAAGCAATTGTTATGATCATTCGTTACAGCATTGAGAACTAGTAATACATTAGTGTTCTGTTTTTCTTTAGTTAGTTTGGATACTAAAAAAATATTATTTCAAGTTCTATTTAGCAAGAGAGTTAAAAAGCACATATGATAGTCAAAACTTCATTTGTGCTTGAGAGCATAGACTTCAATTTCAACAGTTTTGAAATAATGTGAACCAGTGAATGTGAGACGTCCTTTACCAGTTGAATCAATATAATCAGTAGGAAACATAACAGTACTGCGAGCATTTTGATTACTATCTGAATGAATACAAATGTCCCATAGACCAAAGGTTGGTCCCATCGTTGCTTTGCAACCAATTGCATTTCGACCTTCAGCATTTATTTGATATTTAGTAGGTAGAATTTTATGCGGATTAATTAGCGTAAACAGAAATGCGTCCATATCCACGGACCATTTCCAATCTTCGTGAGTTTCCCAATTGACTGACGTGTATCCACCAAATAAATGTCCACTCGATGATTGAATCACAGTCAATGTTGCACCTTTTCTATCACAACATCGATAAAAATCCGTACTAGAAAATCCGTCTCGTGTAGCTTTGTAAGTGAGTCGCCACATTTGATTTCGTTTTCCGTAAAATTCATTCAATTGAATTTGATGCTCGCGACATAATAGTGTTCCATCGAAGAAATATTCTTTTCCGTGGCGAATATCACGGTCGAATGAGACAAGAACTTGTGAATTCAATTTGATGGGTGGAATGATCATTTTGACACGAGTTTTATTCCGATCAAGATCGATTTGAATTTGATGGAGTCTTGCACTTAATTGTTTGATATCTTGTTCAAAATAATTATTTTCAAATTTACATTTTCGTAATTCCATCGAAATTTGGTCTAAGTCAGCTTTGATAGTAGAAGTTTTTGTTGTCATCAGTTCTTTAATACGGTTTCGTACACGATCGGCCATTTGTGTAACACTTTTCAATGCTTGTTCCTCCCACTGGTTGATATCATGGAGAAGAGCTTTTAGTTGAGACTGCTTGATCTTCGATGAATGATCCGCGATATGATGAGGTAAATTACTTCTATCATGCAATAATTGAGCAAATTTAGTATCTAGATATTGACGATGTTCGCGAAAGTGTGTTGGACAAAAACGATTGGAACATCCATCACATTGAGCAATTCCCGTTTTTTTACAATGTGAACATCTTGCTGACAATATTTCAGCCATGTAAAAAGTAAGATTGTGTGTGTCTTTCACAAAACAGCAACACAAGGAGACAAAATGAAAATTTAACGATAAAAGATCGTTGTTTTACCAGGTAAAACTCAAATAATGTTAAAATAAAAGTGAAATCTGCAGTAGAAGTTTTTTTTTGACTGTTGAGATGCTTCTTTTTTGTTCTTAAGCAAGAGACAGCCATTAAGAAAAATTACATGTCATCTTTCATGTTTTACGAAAAAAAGAAAAAAAAATAAAAACAGTGAAGCGTTAATTGCGCTTAGAAACTGAATTAACTACAAGCAAGGCATTTATACAGATTCTCACTAGTAATAGCAACGGATAAGCTAGAGTTGAATTTCATTAGAAAACTGTGCTTTTAATATCGACAAGTCATATATCATTGGAAGTGTTTGATTGTGAAATAAAAAGTCAACAGTGTCCGAATGGAGTGCAAATGTGGGTGTAGTTGTGGATGGGTGTGTTCCATCGTAAGTAAACAGGATTATTGTTTTTTGAATGGAACAAAACGAAATAAAAATTTGCATCTCAGTAAGTCGCAATTCATGTGTTCTCGTCGACATGTATAAACTAAATTGTTCTTATTAGTGCAATTAAATAAGGATATTGATTACACTGGAAACAATCAATCGACATAGTTCGAGACAAGAACTAGTGGTCAAAATAGACGATCCTCGATTAGGGAGTAATGGAGAGTGCTTTCTTCTTCACACTTACATCCTAATCGCGATAAAATTGCTGCCTTTAATTATATGGAAAGAAGAAGAATATCTCACCTTTCGGTTATCTTGCAACATATGATGTTGTCCGAAGACAATTTTGAACGTCTGATATTTTTCGTACAACTATTGCTAGTCTGATTTAAAGTTCTTTCCACTCAATCACTTAAGCTTCTCGTACACACTGACTAACCTCATACTGGACCCAACAATTGATATATGTTTCAACGTAGTCAATATGTTATCAAATAGTAAGACAAATTATGCATTTCAAAACACTTTCAATCATCCTAGTAGTAATGAAAGCATGCATGAATATACAAGTAGTTTTGCATATCGTCTCCTTACAATTGCATATGACACTATCATTTGAGTAACTTGGTCTATACACACAAGATAAATAACAACTATTTTTTCAACAAACACATTGTTTTTTTATTTAAACTATATCTGAGACTAACTATACTGAAGAAAAAAAGATTTCAATGAATGAAATGTGAACTCGGAAACTTTTTTTTGGGTTTTGTAGAGTACACATAATTCTTTTTGATTTTTACATCACACATTTATTGCAGTGTGATTACACATGTCTCAGTTATTAATGCATGAAATACAACATTCAATTAAACAAACAAGAGTTTTTAAAATGAGAAGCATTACATTTACGTAGTTTTTCCTGAATCATTTTCCTTTGCTTTTCTTTGTCTTCTTTCTTAATTCATCGACATCTCCATAAGTGACAGTATCAACACGAATAGCAGAAACCCATTCCAGTATTAGTACTAAGCGATTTAATCTTGAGTATGTCATATTATAACGCAATTTTTATTCATTAAAAAAAATTCAGCCTATTTCTTCATTCTTGGAGTCATATACAATAATGGCATATATATGAGAAAAAAAAACGACGCATAAATTAGTTATGCTTTTACTTTTTTAAAAGTCACTTCCATGGAAACATCATTGTTAACAAATTAAAATAGAGATGAAAAAAATTTCTTTTTATTTTAATGTATGAATATGAGTTAGTTCTTTTGAACAACATATCACTATGGCATCAAAACAAGAACGACATACAAATGTTGTTTCTCCGAAAAGTAAGTTATAAAATTTCAAGTATTTCTTTTTCATCTACATTCTATTTATCGGTAAACATCTATCCATAAATACGTACACTGTACCAAGAGATTTAACCCGAGAAATTATCAACATAATAAATTTTTGTTTTTTCAACTTTTATTGAAACATGTCAATGCCGTAAATATTTTGCGAGATAATCATGTGCTGCCACAAAAGGGAAACATTGAAGACAGTTTTAGTATTTTATCAATTTTTTCGTTGTTGAAAAGCAGACGAAAATTTTAAATATACCACTAGATGCTAAGATTGAACGGACTTTATTTTGGTATAAATATGTTCGAAATAATAATCCGTTCTAATGATTGGATATTAATAATAATCAATAGCTAATATCTATCTATTTTTTACTGGACACTCACTTGTCGTAATAAGACATTTTCTTGAACATTCTTTCAAAATTTCATTAGTATTCTATTAATAATTAACAACACTAAGCTAGGAAAAGACGCTTTGAACAGTTTGAAAATGAGTTTATTTTGTAGAGTGGAGTTTACTCTATTAAATGAGATATTGTGGCCTTCTATACAATATAATACACAAGTGATATAAGCCTTTACATAATGTTCAATAGTTTCAGCAAGGATTTCCTGCTATTCTCTCCTTGTTTTGCACTCAGCTATATTTAAAATATTTTATCACCTGTGCATACGTAGCCCATTCAATTTTACATCTAATAGTATATTTTAAATTAGTTTTCTGTTCTTCGATATCGAAGGGAACGAAGAAAATACAAAAACTGAATCAAATAGAGCCGAACTCGAGTTATGCGCATCTTCTGAAAGATTTACGCTTCTTAATTATTAGATGAAGTACAAAATCCAGAAGAAGGTCTTGGTGCATGTGGTATGGTTCTTGTTGCATTATGTTATATACTTTGTGCAATAACATTTCCATTTTCACTTTTTCTTGGTTTAAAAGTAAGAAAGAAATATATATATTCAATGGTTTTATATAAATGAATATTTTGATTAATAGGTTATAAAAGAATATGAACGAGCAGTTATTCTACGTCTTGGTCGAACTATTACTAGTAGAAATATAGTTCAAATATAATCTAAATATTATGATTAAAATTTTTAGTGGGTATCAAAGGTCCTGGTTTACTCTTTGTTTTACCATGTGTTGATTCAATAAATAAAGTCGATTTACGAACTAGTTAGTCATTATTTTGTCACTATTATTATTTCATTTGCTGATTACTTTTATTTTTAGTTACTTTTGATGTTCCTCCTCAAGAAATTCTTACACGAGACTCAGTGGTTTGTAATTAAAGAGCAATGTAAACAATTTTGATTTTTCATTTTCATATAGACAGTTTCAGTCGATGCTGTTGTTTATTTTCGAATATATAATCCAATCATAAGCGTAACCAATGTTGCAAATCCACATATTTCAACACAATTACTTGCAGCTACAACACTTCGTAATATTTTGTAAGTGAACTAATATAAAATAATTTATTTCAATAAAATGTTCGTCTTTTATTCTATAAATTATAGAGGTACAAAAACTTTACAAGAAATTTTAACTGATCGTGAAAATATTTCACATTTAATGCAAACTCATCTTGATGAAGGAACTGATCCATGGGGAGTGAAAGTTGAACGTGTTGAAATGTAAGATTTTTTTTTGAAATAATTAATTTCTTTTTTTTTCTTGACAACTTCAATCATATTATTTAGCACAGATGTTCGATTGCCTGTCAATATGCAACGTAGTATGGCTGCGGAAGCTGAAGGTTAGAATTTATTTCATGCTTTTTTTTTGGTTAAATAATTAGATGTTTGTTTATCCTTATAGCTGCTCAAGAAGCTCATGCGAGAATCATTGCAGCTGAAGGAGAAAAAAAAGCATCACGATCATTAAAAGTAAGATTTTCTTATTATAGATATGCAGTTTAAAGTTGATTTTATATATTTAGGAAGCTGCTGATATACTTAATGAAAGTCCAATTGCATTACAGTTACGTTACTTTCAAACATTAACACATATATCAGCTGAAAAAAATTCAACAATCATTTTTCCAATACCTAGTAAATGAATTCTACATTGAGAATTTTTCTTTTTATTATCTTTATTTTTAGTCGAATTTTTGAAATTAATGAAAACACGAGACTCGAATTCAATTACTAATGGCTTTTGAACTAAATTAATATCTACTTTGTTTACATCCATAATTTCTCTTAAACCAACACATAATTTTGTTCTTTATTGATATAAATGAAATAAAATAATGCCGATTCAATATCCAAGTACAACACTAAATTGAGATGTTATAGGTGTGAATCAAGATAAGATTTTGAAACAGGTCTACACTCATACACATTAAATGCACATGTAATATATTAGATGTAAAAGAGTTCTATATGCTGGTTGCTGTTCGTATAGCAGCTTGAACTGATATTGCGCTAGCAACTTGTGTTTTTTGTAGATTTAACAAGTACTTTAGCCGATTTCAAAATACCTTCACAATGATCAGAAAAGGTTTTCCTAACATATTCATAATTTAAATCAGAAGAAATAACAAATAAAATTGGTATATACTGTTTTCATATCTATAAACAATGTTTTGTATCATAAACAAAAAAAAGAAGACAAGTTTTGCGAGATCGGCGATACTACTATTAACGGCACTTAGCAACATTGATACAAGCTTCCACACCATACATACTTCCTTTTAAAACAGCTGAGACATAAGACATAACAAGAATGATATAGAATGTCACGTAAGTCCTTAGACAAAGAAAAATTTGAATATTTTCACAAGGCTTCAGTCGGCTGAGCTGATTTTTTTTCTCATTGTAGAAGACACTTTCTAGTTTTTATTCACGAATGATTAGTATATTCATGCGCATAAAACTGGCACACTTTCATTCACTATATTACTAAATAACGTACAAAAGTATTTTACTCATAGCTATAGATCAAAATTGTAGGATATTCTCGTATTTATTTGTTAAGCAATATAGCTGATGGTGTGAGTGTGGATGAGGGCGGATAAAGAGAATACCAACACCCACAGCAATCCACACCTATCAAGCTCGGATATATGACTGTCGATGTGGGATTTAAGTGTTCTGGATGAATACAGCCGTAGAGTATGAGTGCGCATATCAGCTATGAGGTGTGGGTGTGGGTGTGGGTGGGTGGGTGGGTGTGTGGGTGTGGGTGGGTGTCGGTGTCGGTGTGGGCGTGTGGATGCGGGCGTGGGTGTGGGTGGGTGG